TGATTCAAACTTTCAGACTTAAACGTATTTCCAGTGACCTTGAATCGGTTTCCCCTCGTGTTTAATTTGGATAATATATATTTATGAAGATCATTTTAAAAATACAATTTTGCAGTAGAAAATGAGACACTATAACTTCTCATGGATATCGTAAGAGATTATTAACGGTCATTTTGGGTTGATGTGAGAGTCTCATTCATTCATTCCACAGGCTGCTTTCCTTCTAATGTCAGATCACTTTTCCTACTCTCTTAATAATGCAACCCTATTATTATTATTTATTTATTTTTAGAAGTGAACCTCCTTTAAACAAGAAGGGATATTTATGATTTTAATCCATAAAAAGACTTGCTGGTTATCCCCTGGAGGTGTCACGATCTCAGCTTTTGACCACATAAAAAAAGACACTGAGATTAGCAGGAAGAATACGCTGCCCTGTGGTTCTCTCCCCTCCTCCTTCTCCTTGTCCTCCTCCTCTTTTACAAAAAACCCCTTTTATTTACAGATATACACACTCCCAATGGGAGGAGCAAAGTTTGTTCATCCCGCCCTCTTTAGTATTTTCATCACTTCTCTAGACTTGCATGTTTTGGTGTACTCTAAAAATGCTTTAGGGTTGTGTGGCATTTTGATTGCTGTTTTTTTCCCCTCTTTCACTCTTTTTTTTCCTTTCTGAAGCTTCCGTCTTTTTGTCGTCGTTGTTTTGTATTTGTTTGCTGCTCCGTTTCAAAGCACACTGTACATTACAGCATATCTCCCTCGGTTAACGAAAGATGATAAAGGGGGAAGGGGGGGCACTGGATAGAGGTAAGAAGAGTGAAGCCTCCCTGGAAAGTGTTGGCGCAAAGGCCTCCAGGGCTGCGGGTGGTTTTGGCAGCTCAGCCAGCGGAGTGGGCACTCTCTCAGACATCTGTTTGCTCACTGCTGCTGGAGCTGCTGGCTGGATAGATGTGGGGTGGGGTGAGGTGGGCTGGCGGTGGCGGTGGCGGTGGGGGTGGTTGGAGAGCTGGAGCATTCAGCCACAAACCTGCATCAGCACCAACATCTTACTCAGGAAAGACAACAACAACAACAACAACAACCCAGTATCACAGCTCGAGCAGCGCCCGTTCAGAACAGGCTGACTCCGTCTCACAACACGAGTGAGTGATTGAAGTCATCTGTCGCGGGGGGAATGGGAAGTGTCAGCAAATACACAGCTGATTTGAGGTTGCCAGCACTTAGCTGCGATGATCCAACAACACTGGTCTTGAACTGCAAACCAGATGCACGATACTGTCTAGACAGTTATTATATGCACCGGCTAACATTTAAACATCACTTCAGTGTGTATCGCTGTGATAAACAAGAAGCTTTAGAGAATCCCGCTGCTTTGAAAAGAGGACAAAGCGATGAGATGAGCTTTTGCTAACCCAGCCACACACTGCTAAACAATCAAAGTTCGTTTTGACTTTTATTCGTCACATGCTTTGACAAATCCACTAAAATGATGGAATACATGATGAAAAAAGGTCATAGTTACTAAAGAAGTGTCCAAAAGTACTGGAAATGAGGTAGTATCACAGTACGTCCACATGCACTTTCACCTGCAGCTCATGCTGTGCTTCACTACTGCACTCACTGTAGTGAAAGTGCAACAGAAAACAGCTGTTAGACTTATACTGTGATACTGGCAGATTAAAGTTTTCTAGAGGGTAGATGTCAGCGTTGCAGAGCTGCATGCAGGTCATTTTAAGGAAAAAGGAAAGCAAGGAAAAGCTGTTCTGGAATATTGTGCAAAAACAATATGAAAACTGCCTTCATTTGGTCCTGAACAGCTCATTCTTCTCCCTGCTGCCTCTCTTATAAAGCATATCTATAAATCAAGGACATAAACAGTTATTATGTACGTGCCAAACCAACCCTCCATCCCACATCATTCTAAAACCGCACACACATACACATACACAGAGCTCACTTCCTCGCGAGACAAACCAATCCCCAACAGCCAGAGGGTGACACCGCAGCAAACTCATAACACCGATGTCCAAGTTGAGCTGCTGAGGCTCGCTCTTTAAGGAGCAGGTTCCTATCCGCACGATGGCTGTCACTCCCACTGCCACCGGACATGTGTGATCCCATAAAGAAATCAACCTAGTAATTTGTCATGCCAGACTCCCTGTGATATTACTCAGTTACTAGAGCAGCTCACTTAAACAGTATAAGACTGCAGCTGTTATTGAGGCAATAACTCCATTGAAGGCCGTCATAAAATTAACACAATACGCAGATAACACTGATTTTATGATTATTTATTAAACAACTTCAAGCACCTCGTCATGTTACTGAACTCTGATATCACCTAAAACTTAACTGCTGTTTTGTAGCTGTGTTATGATGCAGTCACATGCGTTTAGGGAGTGTATGAAAATTAAAAGGGGTGGGAGGTTCAGTAAGGGGTCACCTTTATGCATTTTTGGACGTTTGTTTTTGCAGGAAGGTGGTCACACTTGTTTTTTGAGTGGGGTAGCCCTGAACTTACTCATGTCAGAGTTTCTTCATTTGAAGATTAGAAACCTACTTTACTTATGGTGATCCTTTATGGTGACAAGATAGTTGTATTTTTGTAATTAACCATATATATATCACTATTCAACTTCTCACTTTTTAAAGGCTTTGAAGTGTGATTTTTTTTTCTTTTTTTGGGAAACAGCAGCATGCTTGTAGATACACATTTACTTGGGTTTAAAATAAAATGCCAGGGATGGCTTGTGACAGTTCTGCCAATAACTTCCAATAACACTCACTGCTAACCTAACATTTTTTTAATTGTTACCTAAAAACAATTTTTTAAGCTTGCAGGTACTAGACATGCTAAAATGTAATTATTCTTTTTCCTTTTTTTTTAATGAACATGATGAAACCACCAGAAAGCCCACCTCCACTGCCCCTGACACTGAATGGCATCCCCCAAATGTGACTTGGCAGTTTTAATCAAATGATTTAGTACATTAAATCAACCTTTCCCCCCGTAATCTGATTATGTGAGTGCACTGCACTGCATCTCCACAGCCTACAGTATACCTTAACCTATTAATATGACCAACCTTGTGTCAGTGATTTCCCTTGCGATGGAAACAGTATCATGTTAATTATCACAACCATCTGGTCTAAGCAGCGAGGAAAAAAAAAAAAAAGCTTTCTCTTCCTCTCGCAGATTTGTACCTGTCAATCAAAGTCTGCTTCAAACAAGCCACTGGGGCTCAGAAACAGCACAGAAGAACCAAGCTCCAGTCTCAGAGGATTTAGGAGTAGCGTTAAATTAATCTTCAGCTGGCAATTTGACTCTCCTGTCTCACTGTGTTGTTGCACTTACCACAAATCATTATTGATTTTGGTGCTGGGTTCCTAATATGGCCTGTAAACGCTATTTATGGATGTTTAACATGGTAATTTTACAGAGTGTGTGTGTGAGAGAGAGTGTGTGTGTGGATGGGGGGCGACTGCTTCATTTTTAATCTTGTAAAAGGTTTCAGTGGGATTTTACTTGTGAGTTTATTGTGTGTCTTTAAACGTGTTTGACATAAAAAATAATGGCTGCTTGTTTATCTGTTTAACACTCGGTCTTTGTTTTGAAAAGATGAGAATTTTAAGAGAGACTATCGGAGTGCGTACAGTGTTACAAAGCTGGGATAAAGATTCCCTGTTTGTGACTAGCACTGTCCCGTGACATCACTGCGTTTGGATCATGACCAACGCCACATATAAGGAAGACAGAAAGAAGGGGGGTAAATTAAAGAAAAGAAAAAAAAACTTTAGCCACCAAAGGAGGAAGAGACAAATCACAGAGGCTCGCGAGACAGATGCTCTTCTCAAGGTGAACCACCGCTGACCCGTCTGCCACATAAATTATTCTGTAGTTTCAGACTCCATTCCAAAGTTGTGGAATTGGGTTACAAGATAATTTCACAGGCCACTTGCTTGTCTTCCTTGGCAGTCCAACTGGCTAATTGAAGAGAGTGATTTCCAGTTTGGGCAACTATTCAGAACATGGCAGTCAAAATCGGAATGATTTCAAGGCTCTTCCCTTTTCTGTCTGTCTCGCTCTTTTTAAATATTCAGAATATATATATATATATATATATATATATATA